GCAAAAACCCCTCCAAAAAAAAAAAAAGAAAAAAAAAAGAATCTACATTTATTAAGTATATCTATATAGAAGTCCATTATGTTACTTTGGAATAATAATTTTTTCTTGATCAAAGAATGTTGTAAAACTGGGAACCAGCAGTTAGTGTAATGGCTATGTCGCTGGACTCCCATGTAGTCAACCGTGGTTCGCGTCCTGGACCTGGTGACTTAAAACTCACACCGGGTGCATGTGCATGCGTGCTCAAGATCCCAAGAGGAGAATGGAGGAGAAGGGATTGCGGCGTGGCCATCCCCCCTTGGGGGGTGATTTCTCGCTTTCTGTCTCTATATCTCTCTGTCTATCTGGTGAGTGCATGTGCCCTAGAGCGAAAATCTCTCCAAAAAAAAAAGAATGTTGTAAAACTTAGTGAGCAGTAAGTATAACAGGAAAAGTGTGTTTTTTAAGGCAAATTGTAAAAATTGAAACAACACAAAGTGTGAGCTTCCAGTTTGCAGAAGATGAAAGAATCATTATCAGGACAGTCAGTTTAGGTGCACGGATTTGCCAGTTACCTAGCATGGACTCAAGAAAAAGTCGAGTTAAAATGGTGAGCAAATGAGAGACAACCTAGTCAGGTCATTTCAAACTCCGGACAGAAGTCTCCAAGGAGATAGCAGAAGGTCTTCTGGCGTGGGGAGGCAGAAAGTAGGGGGTGAATGAAAAGAAGATAGAAAAGAAAAAGAGGAGGAGAAGACTCAAACTGATGGTTTAGTACTCTTCCTTCCCCATTTTAATCAGAGTAGTTTGACTTTTTTGTTAAAGGTCTTTTTTTTGAGAGAGAGACTTTTGTTATAGGGTGTGTGTGCTTGCTGGAGAGAGACAGAGAGACAGAAGCAAGAAATCACCGTCCGGGGGGGATGACCACACCACAGTCCCTCTTTTCCATTTTCCTCAGGATTTTGGGCATGTATGCACACATGCCTGGCGTGACTTCAAGCCACCAGGTCCAGGACTCGAACTGAGGTCGACTATGTGAGAGTCCAGCGACATAATCATCTGCCATCTGCTAGTCCCAGGTCTTTTTTTATTTTTCAGTTTGTTTCTTAATTTATTTTTCAAAATATTTAATTTTATTTCTTATTAATTTTTATATTGAGCAGAGAAAGACAAAGAGAAAGGGAAAATGAGACAAAGCAAGTCACCAGGTCTGAGACTCGAACTGTGGTCAGCCACGTGGGAGTCCAGCTCAACCATCACTGCAGTTTATTTCTGTCTTCCATGATCCAGAGAGACAGAGAAAGCGAGAGAGAGATAGCGTCCCCAATGGGGTCTTGATGCCCTGACCCAGTCCCAGCGTCAGCCAGCCCTGGGTCATGGGCACACATGCTGGGGGAGGTCTCAGGATATGAACCAGGAACTTTCCCTGTGTGTCAGCCACACAGGATGTCATGTTTTACTGCCATGCCTCTGTTTGGCTCTGTACTTCCACATTGATCTGTTTTGTATAAAACTTTATTTTGTAAAAAAGGGTTTGCTGGTAAAAGACATGAAAATCTCTTGGTTTCACTCAGCAGCTCTGGGTAGTTTTATAGGAGGTGTTGGTGTGTATGAAGTATTCAGCCAGGCAGCAAACACGACATTACCTAGAACCCACATAAAGTGCAGCCGAGTTGCATAATCAGATCAAAGTGGAACAGTAGGTGTTTATTCACTACTTAGTGCAAGAAAAATCGAAATCCGCTCATAAAGATAAGGCATACTTTGCTTACTATCAGTTAGAAGGGACTTTTCCCTAAAGTATTTTGGTTTAATTTTATTATTTAAATTTAAACAATATTAAAATATTAATATAATATTATGTGCTATAGTGCACATACACTCACCAGAGAGAGAGAGAAAAGGCAAGCCGCCTGGTTCAGGATTTGATCTGTAGTCGGCCTAATGGGAGTCCAGCGCCTTAACCACTACACTACCTGCTGGCTCCAGTAGGGACATTCTTACATGGTTATTGTTTAAGAAATCAGTTACAAATGAAACGAACTGTGTTTTGCTTTAGAACCATGTTCACTGGGCCACCTTAGATCACTTTCAGTGCTAAGCATTGGCCTTTACGGGTTTATTTGTAAAGAAGACTAAGACTCCGTCCCACAATCTTGGGTAGATGTGTGAGTACTGTTACAAACTTGGGGAAAAGATGCTCTATAAACTCTCGTGGTTTCTAATGTTAATTGTATTTCATGTCTGATACAATCGCCTCTGAAGTGTGTCACGACCGCCCAGCATAGTGAAAAAGCAGGGTTCCAGGGCCACAGTTCGCAGTGGGGAGAAAGGAGCCCAGGCTGTGTAGAGATGGTCTTTGGCTCCTATGGTGGGAATTAGGGAAGCTCCTGAGTGCTCAGACCCTGCCGTGTCAGCTTACACGCAGGTGCTTGCTGGCATGTGCTGTCCTTTTGAGCAGAGAGAAAAGCCCGTCCGGATAGGGAGAGTTTGCCGGCCAAGTCAGTGCTGACAGGCTGGCAGCCTGCGGGTAGTGTGTGTACCCTGCCCGAAGGGGTTTTGTCTGGATCATGCAATACTTTTAAAAATAAGATGCCAGCAGTGCTCGCTTCGGCAGCACATACACTAAAACTGGAAAGACACAGAGCAGATCGGCATGGCTCCTGCTCCAGGATGACACGCTAGTGTGTGCAGCGGTCCATACTTTTTTGTTTCATTTATTGGTTAGTCTGCCCACTTTACAGACTTGAGATTACCGGCCCATCATTAAATGTGTACTGTGAAGAGATTACTGGTAAGTATGAAAGGCTTTACAAAAGCCCACTAGATAAACACTACTCAAGTACAGACTGCAAACCAAGTGTGTCGTTACGACATTAACTGCGAACACCAGCAATGGTGCCAAGGTCTCTGCCAGTGGGATTGGATGAGTGCTGGGCACTGGATTTTAAAGTAGAACTAGTCGTCAGCATAAGTAAGTAAGTAGGCATTCAAAACCTCAGATTTTAAGCTGCTTTTGAGAAGTCGGATGATCTGGCTACCCAGGCCTGTCTTCCTCCCTGTTGGCAACAACCCGGAGCTGGGTAACAGTGCCACGGACAGAGAGCCACAGTCCCCTCCCCTCTCTACTGCCTTAGGCCTGGCCCTCCCCACTGGTCACCTGGAGGTAGCTCTTGTCATAGTTCCTTTACAGCTTCCCTGTAGCATCGCACATTTTCAGTTTCAAAAGGTTAACGGCTTACAGGAATTCGACGAATCGTTTTCTCTGGGCTGAGGAGTTGTTTTTAGAAACCCAACAAATAGAACTGGAAACGGTCTCGTGTCACCACAGTTCCAGGTACTTCAGAACTCAGTTGAATAACTCAGTAAACAGACGAGTTTTATGTGGATTCTTATGAAAACAAATCGTAGCAATCACAGCAACATGTTACCACTGGCACTTACGGAGAGTCTGCTAGTTTAATTTAGCTCAGTATTATGTTATGCATCATATGGTAAGAAGTGGTGGGTACCAGCAGTTAGCATAATGGCTATGGCGCTGAACTCCCATGTAGTCGACCACGGTTCAAGTCCCGTACCTGGTGGCTTAAACTCACGCCAGGCGTGTGTGCGTGCATGCCCAGGATCCCGAGAGGAGAATGGAGGAGAAGGGATTGCGGCGTGGCCATCCCCCCTGGGGGGTGATTTCTTGCTTTCTATCTCTCTGTCTCTCTCTATCTGTCTGGCGAGTGCATACCTCCTATAGCAAAAACCTCTCAAAAAAAAAAAAAGAAAAAGTGGTGGGTTCTGTTTTGTTATGCTGGCTGCCAAAGCTTATCTGTAGTAACTTTTCTCCAGCTTTTTATCTGAACCGACCTTTGCTTCAGCATGAAACTTAGAACTCACGTCCCTGCTCGGCCAGCTCGTTTCTTTTTACCCCGGTCCTGCAGCTGGGATCAAGACCTTAGTACCCTTGACCTAGATGAGGCTAAGCAGTAGATGGAGAAGTGGAGATTGTTGTGGGGTGGTTTCTGTGATGAAATCCAGGTGTTCAGGACAGAGCATTGAACAAAACATGCCAGTAACGAAAGGAAAAAGGTACTTCATTAAGTAAAAGTAAAAGTACACTCCTGAGAGGTAGGAGCAGGCCTGAGCAGACAGAGAATGGCCTAAAAGGCCCGGGCAGTTACATTCTGTGAGGTTTATGACTTCTGAACCGAGGTCGTGCTGGTTGATCATTGGCTGGGCCCACTGACTGTTCTCCTTTCACTGGCTCTATCAAATGCAGCTGGGCCCGCTGCTGTAGCTGAAGGGCTCTGTCAGATGTGGCTTAATCAGCTAGACATCCCTCTACTAACCACCTGCCTGCATTGCCTGGCGTGAGAGTTTTCTGCCCGGGTCAGGTTTTTCTATTCAGCCACAAGGGCAGATGCTCCAACTCCCTTACCTGCTTCGATTTGCTAGCTTTCTCCTGCCTCCAGACTATTAATAATTAGCAGAAAAAAACCTGCATGCCCACAAGAGGGGAGACCGATGAGAAGCAATCTGACTGATATAGCAGAGTCCCCAAAAGCCTTGGACATCTGAGGGCCACATGTTTCAGAAACCAGAATGAAACTTAGGGGAGGAAAGTGGTTGACTTAGTTGAATGTAGATCAGTAAGCCTTTGCCACACTCTACCCAGCCAACTACTTCCCCATCTGCATGAGATATGGGAGGTTTATTTCTGTAAAAATTAAACCACAAACTTTATAGGATCCTGAGCTCAGGGTGTGGCTGAGGTCAGGGCTGAGAGTGGGACTGAAACTCGAGGGCAGTGAGAAGGTGTGTAATGAAGCCCCAGCCTCCTTCCAGATCTAGGTTCCAGAATTCTGGAGTTAGGTATGTACTAGCCTGCTCCCACACCCTGGCCATGAAATCAAAACATCCCTCTCTGGCCTCAGAGAAAAAATGCACAGGGGCAGTCATTTGGGAATTCTCTCAGTGAACCGATGCACGGTATGTTCAGCTGTGTTGTGTTGTATTCCAGTCAGCAAACCCTACCCTAGCCCAGAAGGTCTCCAGACTATTCTCTAGTATCTCACTCTTAAATATAAAGTGATAATTGAGGAGCAACAGATATTTTTTAATAATTATTATTTTATTTAACTTTATTTATTTTCATTTGACCAGAGAGGAACAGAATGAGGGGGGGCGGGGGAGAGAGCGAGAGAAAGTGAGAAAGCAAGCTACCAGGTCCAGGACTTAAACTACGGTTGGCCATGTGGGAGTCCAGCACCCTTAATCACCACGCCACCTGCCAGCCCCAGAGGAGCAACAGATTTTTTTTAAAAGAATTATTTAATTTTATTTGGGAACCAGCAGTTAGCGTAATGGCTATGTCGCTGGACTCCCACGTAGTCGACCGCGGTTTGCGTCCCGGACCCGACCCAGTGGCTTAAAACTCACGCTGGGCACGTGTGCGTGTGTGCCCAAGATCCCAAGAGGAGAATGGAGGAGAAGGGATTGCGGCGTGACCATCCCCTCTCGTGGGTGATTTCTCACTTTCTGTCTCTATGTCTCTCTCTGTCTGTCTGGTGAGCGCACGCGCCCAATAGCGAAAACCTCTTAAAAAAAAAATTATTTAACTTTATTTATTCATTCATTTATTTCAGTTTGGCCAGAGAGCAGCACAGAGAGCGAGAGAGAGGAAAGTGAGAAAGCAAGCCACCAGGTCCGGGACTCAAACAGTGGTTGGCCATGTGGGAGTGTCCAGCACCTTAACCACCATGCTACCTGCAGGTCCCCATGCAACAGTTATTTTAAGCAATGTCTGACATGAAAAATAGGTGCCAACGATGAAACAAAATAAATAAATCATTAATTAAATGACCAGGGATGCTCCTTCAGGGGTCCTGCGGTCAGGTCTGCGGCACTCACAGCGAAGAGACTAGACTTGGTGGACAAGGAAAGGGATTTACCTAGTGAGGCCAGTGCCAGGGAGGGAGGAGATCAGAGTCCATAACTGTCCCCACAGTACTAGATGGGAAGGGGGAGAAGTAGGGGGAAGGGACTGTGGGTGACCGTTCCTCATTGAGGGTGCTTTCTCCTCTCTCCGTCTCTGTCTCTCTGTGACAAGGAAACACACCCTCAAGCAAAAAACAAACCAAAAGTTCAAATACAGGGAAGAGATAGCTACTAAAAGGGCAAGTTATTCATTGTCTTGGGGTGAGGTGTCTGGCCTGTGTCTCCCATAAGATGACAAGGGAGTGTGAGAGCGGAGGCAGCCACTGCTTGAGGGGCAGTTTCTATGCAGGGCAGGCAGGGCAGGGAGAGTGATGTGTTCCCATTCTCTGCAAGGGGCTTAGAGATAATGATGAGCAAGGCAGCAGGAGCAAACGGAGTCCTTCCAGACAACTCCTGGGTCCTGATTTCGAAGCTCGTGTGGTTTTGCAATGCTTGAGCTAGCACACATATGGGAGGGGCTGGTGGTGGCTTGCCCTTCCCTGTCTTCGTAGCCAGGAGCCTATCAAGACTCAGTGAGGTGGTTGTTCACGTCCATGAGGCAGCGTTAGGATCCATCTATAGTGAGGGAAGGGTCCCTAAGACTCATTGTCATGTAAAAGAGGTTAGAGGGCTGGATCGCACATGACTGACTGGACAGTTCAAGTCCTGGATCAGGTCACTTGGAAAGCACACCAGGTGCACGTGCATGCACGCCCCAAGTCCTGAGGAGAATAGAGAAGGGATTGAGGCGTGGCCATCCCCCACCCACCCCCGGGGTTGATTTCTCATTTTCCTTTTCTCTCTCCTCCTCTCTGTTCTCTCTCGCTTGAGCGTAAGTGCCGTGTAGCAAATTAAAAACACAAAAAGGTAGAAATCAAAGACTCACTTTCCTAAGGTTTAATTTATTAATAAGATGGACTTAGAGGAACTAAGAGACAACAGAGAAGAAAACATTTTTAAAAAATCAACCTTAAAATTAATATCCTCAGAGGATAGAATACATGTACTTATAAAGTAGGACTAGAGAATTATTACAAAGAAATAATATGCACAGAGTCAGAAAGTAGAAGGTTGGGTTGCCAGGACCTGGAGTGGGGATTATAGGGAGTGGGTATTTAATGGGCAACGAGTTTTCTTTTTGCAGATGGAAGAGAGTTCTGGAGACACTGAATGTTCTGAACTCTGCTGAACTGTACACTTAAAATCAGTTAATATGGTAAATTATATGTATATTTTACCACAATTTTTAAAAAATTAAAATTGTTCTCAGAAATGAAAAATATGATAGCCAACAACAACAGCAACAAAAACCATCTAAATAAAAAGCATTGGGAACTAGATGTCAGGAAATCTCCCAGGAAGTAGGACAAAAAGATAAATAGATAGGAAAGTATTTTGTTGTTGTTGTCCTTTTTTTTTTTCTTAAATGTTTTTGCCATTGGGCACACTCCTCAGAGAGAGAGAGACAGTGAGAAGGAAAGTGAAAAATCACCCCCGGGGGATGGCCACACCACAATCCCTTCTCCTCCATTCTCTGCCTGGAATTCTGGGCATGCATTGCACACACGCATGACCAGTGCGAATTTCAAGCCGCCAGATCTGGGACTCAAACCACTGTCGACCAAGTTAGAGTAGAGTGCCTTAACCACCACACCATCTGCTGGATCCAGAAATACACATATATATTTTTTAAGTGGAAGCTCAATTCAGGATTTGCAGGTTTTGACTAATAAAGGTTCATGATGAAAAGAAAAGTGAGGAGGAAATTACCCGAGACATAACATCAGAGGTTATCCTGGGTATCTATGACCCAGTTATCTATGACCGTGACTGGGCGGGAGATAGAATTGGGAGGACTTGAAAGAGTCTGAAAGGTTGACGAGCTCATAGTAACTTACAGTCATTATGTCCAGGAAAAAGAACACACAACACAAGCACACACTGTGGAAGCAGTAGACAAGTTGCGTATAATTATAAAGCACATCGTAACTTAAATTCTAATCCTAATGATGATTTAATATAACTGTGTGACATGGTTTTGGCAGGGTTCCAGGAAGGGTAGGGGATGAGCTTGGATCTCATCTGTTCAATAAAACAGCAGTAATTAATGAATTATCTTGACCCAAAATAAAGTATGTTCTGGTAACGTTGTTTTTCTTCAAATTTCAGTGGAAGAACGCAGCTTTGTTGAAAAGCACAGATGGCCATCGAATATGTACTTGAAGCAGCTTGCAGAATACAGGAAGTATATTCACTCCCGGAAGTGTCGTTGCTTAGTAATGTAACCTGGAGCTTTTATAGACACACACTTTCTATTGTTATTATGAAGAATGGGACACCCCTGGGTCCCACTAAACTTCTTATGAGCGAAACCAATATGGGCATTTAACAAAAATCACCATACAGCTTAATGTGTTTATTAGTTATCTTTGGAAAAAACTACTATTTTGGTTTTGTGGTCTTAAAAGGGAACAAAATAGACCGTAGGCTAAAACTGAGACTTTACCATAGGATATAAAGCTGTGGTACAGCTACACTCTCCCTTTAAGATTCTTGTTGTTTTAGTGATATTAAGAGCTCTCCCAGTTAAGAAATAGTTAAATTGTTTTAAAGAAATAGTTAAATTGTTTTAGAAAAATCATTTAGGATTAATACAGAAATTTTATCATGTCTCATTAATTACTAAAATAGGGGGTACTTGAGCCATCCGGGGATGTGGTGGTTAAGGTGGCTGGGTCCCACATGGCCGACTGCATGGTTCAAGTCCTGGATTTGGCAACTTGAAGAAACACACTGGGCCCATGTGTGTGTGTGTGTGTGTGCCCAAAATCCCGAGAGGAGAATGGAGGAAAAGGGACTGCAGCGTGGCCATCCCTCCTGAGGGGTGATTTTTCACTTTCCTTCGCTCTCTCTCTATGTCTCTGTCTCTCTCCAGCGAGCACACACACCCTATAGCAAAAAAATAATACTAATAAAAGGGGCACATGAAGATGCCCAGTATAACTATTTCTACAAGAAGAAATCTAGGGGAACACATCAGTCCAACATGAGATTTTGAGAACAGACATTTCCTGGGATTTGGAAAGTGAAATGCCACTTGGTTTCAAATCAGTGACAGCGTTTGAATCATCACTGAAAAATTGTCCTTTTCATTTGGATCACCCAGCTGAGCCTCTTCGTCCCCCGCTGAGATTCTGATTCCGTGGGAAGCATACCCGAGGCTGGCTTTATCAGCATGTAGCCTGTGTGGTCCTTCAAAAGGTCCACACTTGGTTCAGTGCTCGGCTCCTGTTTGAAGGAGGGCCCCTGTGTTCACTGTGCTCTGGGCCCCCCAGATGTATTTTCCTGTAGAAAATGTGTTTTCCTGCTCAGACATCATTTCTCTAAAGCAGAAAAGAGGTGCTAATAGCAAGGAAGGAGAAGGAGGGTGTCGGAGGGAAGAGAGCCAGTGGGGAGGGGGATTGGTGCCTTTGGGGCGTCGGGGGCATGCAGGGCTCCACCACACCTCTGCTGGCACGTGAGACATGCCTCTGTTGTCGGAGCTTAAAACGCTCCCAGTTCTGGCTCTGTCAGACCAGCAGGTGCTTTCATGGTCACTCGGTAAGACCGGGCTGTCAGTCAGCATGGCTGTGACCAGCCTGACTTTAATACACATCAAGATGCTCCTAGAAACACGTGCTTGGTAGAGAATTTGCTTTCGAATGCCCAAGACGTTTTTAGTGTATTTACTAAAATGAGAACGTCGGAGGCTTGATTGTTTGGATTCTTTTCATAGACCGCAAGGTTATTTGACGAGGAGTAGCATGAATCTTGTCCTTCAAGATTATCCGGTAGGTTAAAAGAAAAGCTCTAAACGAAAGGCTGGTTACGTATAGGAAGAATGGTACTGGGACAGGGAGCAGGGGTGGTTTCTCCCCCATCACATGCACACAGAAAGCATGACGTCCGTTCACAAGCCTGGAGATGAAAACACATCATTATTGCCAGCATCCTTTTCATCAGTCAGTCAGTATTGAAACGTTTTTCCTTTTAATTTTCAGTGACTTTAGACTTCATGGAGTTTTCCCAACTTTTCAAAGATCTGACTAAGTGATTTTTACTGTAGTATTAGGGTTCTTTACAGTGAGCCCTTGTAAACACGCCAGCACCGTCGAAGTCCAACGGTACAATCTCCCTATAGAGAGGTTTCAAGAACCCTGATTTGAATTGAACTCTGTTGGTGAAGGGTATTGGAAAGCATTTTATGTTTCTGTATTTTACTACTTGAGTTAATAAAATATAAAATACTCGAAAATACCATCTGATAAGGATTCACATTGTAAAGAATAGAGACAAGTAGATTTCTAGAGATTCATTCACATTTAGAGACTTTTAAAATGCCATGAGAGCCTTTTGTTCTCCTGAAGTATATTCTCGCTCCTATATGAATTACAAGCATTTAAGATTCTAAATAAGTCATTTTTTAATCTAGGATATTGGACAAATATAAGTTGCCAAGCAAAATAAAGTATTTTCTCAAAAATACTGTTTAACGTTTAAGGAGACCGTAGACCCTTCCAGGTTGTGTGAGCTGGATAGGACTCGGTCTGGAAGCTGGGGCTCTGTTGGTGTTGAATCTGCAGTTTTTACGATGAAAGTTCTTTACCAGCCTGTGTGAGTGAGTCAAATACCCAGATGTCACACTCTCCAGAGCTAGTCAGAACGTAATCAAAGCAGCGTTCAAGCCTGTTTTGAGACTTTTTAACACCTTTGGAGTAACTCAGTTAAAAAAAATAAGACATTCAAAAAGACTTATCAACTCTCCTGGTAAAATGAGTGCTGGTTTGAGTATGGTTTTTGTTTTTAAATTGGAAGGCTATTAGATGGGTGTAAGCTCTGTGCTGACCTGGACGACGATTTATTCCCCAGTCATTTTACTTAGAGGAAGTACTGTGTGGCAGAACTGAGGCCTTTTCTATCCGGGCTAGGTTTTCACTCTGTTTAACCCCTTGTGTACCTCTACTCTGTGTTATCACAGGAGACTAGATTTGTAATATAGAACTTTCAGTAACAGAACCAAACTATCAACACCGTCCGAGCCAGCATGATGGTGGCTTCATCTTGAATAGAAGCGGAATCCTGAAGAATTGGAAAAGTTTGACTTCCAGTACAGCTCAACTTTTCAGCTGTCCTTTTAGAAACTACACTACGCTGATACAGCTAATTAGACAAAAACGTCCTCAGAGAGTACTTTATTTTATTTAAAGCATCTGTTTCATTTGATCTTTAATAATTTTGCAAAGAAGGGTATGTGTGTATTTTAATATAGCCTGACCTGAATTTATATGTTTTTAGCTTTTAGTATTTAACATTTTGTAACAAATAAACCTTTCTAAAAACAAGTTTAATGAAGTGCTCTGTAGTTCTTTATGATTAGGGGGAATACTCGTGTGCTTCTCTGACTTAATTATGTTTCACAGATAATTTCCTTGATGAGTAAAAAGATTTAGAACTGACTGATATTGTATGTCACTCATAGGTGTAATGAGATAAAGAAACATATTACTGTTTGTTTTTTCGTAAGGTTTTTGCCATAGGGCATTTGTGCTCACCAGAGAGAAACAGAAAGAGACAGAAAGTGAGAAAACACCCTCCAGTGGGGATGGCCACACTATAATCCCCTCTTCTCCATTCTCCTCTCAGAATTTTGGGCATGCTGAACACACGCCTGCTGTGATTTTCAAGCCGCTGGTTCTGGAGCTCGAACTGTAGTCAACCATGTAGAAGTCCAGTGCCTTAACCATCATTCCACCTGCTGGCCCCAGAAATATATTACTTTCAATAGCTGGTGCCAGAATTTCTCTTAGCAAGAACACTACCTTTATTCAGAGGGGGGAAAAAAAGGCTTTGGCTAATTATTTAGCATAGAAGTGAGCCCCTTGCAGGCCTGAGTGTTGGCTGGGGACAAGATCGGAGACATGGAGAGTCCACTCTGCACAAAGAGGGAGAAGAGCCCAGATAGGACGGGGAGAGGCTCCAGGCAGCCGCAGCATGGAGACCGTGTGCCGTGTCATCCAGCCTGGCCCCAGGAGGTTCCTGGTTGTCAGCAGGGCACACGCCCTCCTAGAGGATCCCCATTGCCTGTAGAAGAGCAGTCCTTATTGCTGGCAAGGCCTTTCGCTTCTGGCTGGACACCCCTGCTCCGAGCAGAAAGATGTCCCGTATTGATACACTGCACCACCCATTCAGATGGCCTGTGACCTGTCACCCTCCTCCTCCTCCTGTGGCTTTGCGTGGGCTGTCATTCCCAACCTACCTTGTAAACTCCTGCATATCCTACAAAGCACAGCTTACTCACCCTTTCTTGTGGTCTGCAACTCTGCCAGGAAGAATGAACCTCCCTTAGCTCTTCATCCGTACCTTTGTTACAGCGCGTGGCACTTCTGGGCATTTGTGTCTACTTGCCTGTTAGTTGAGGGCAAGGGGCCACGTCTTCATTTATCTTTGTGACTACCTTCCTGACCCTCCATCAATCATGGCCTGGCATAACTGCTTAGTAAACGACATTAATAAGGCCAGATTGCCCCAGCCAGAACAGTAATCACTTGCAGTAATAAACTTGCAAAGGAAAACGTGCTCTCAAATGAAGCTTTGCCTGGCCTGTGTCAGCAGTGAAGTCAGCCGGCAGGTAGGGCCTGGGTACTCGGGTGATGCTCTCTGGAGAACTGATGAATGAAACTAAGTGGTGGGCCACCGAGGTGATGCAGGCTGGGAACCAAATGATCCTTGGAGACGGCTCTGCCACTGGAGGTCAGGCAGGAAGGTGGGAGGAGGGGAAGAAGAGTTGGACCAAACAGAGAAACGCTCACCGGGTTACACAAGAGTTAGGCTGTATGAAACTACGGGGCCACAAGTCCCCTAGGTGTGGAGTTGGCCACCTTGTAGATTCACATTAGCATGCTCTGTGATGTTCACACAACGATGTTCTCGAATGATGCATTTCTCAGAATGGAGCTGGTCATTAAGCCACGCGTGATCATATAGTTTAATGTTCAACCAAGACCCAAGGAGCAGCAGAGCATGCCAGGGTCTGACGTTGTCTTGCATGCTCAGAACAGAGTGACTTTTTATTTACTCTCATTTGAGAAAATAGCATGGGCCGGCCATGGCCTAGTCGTTAAGGGTGCTGGATCTTGCTTGGTCAACCTTGGTTTAAACCTGGCCCAGTGGCTTGAAAAACACACTGGAGGCATGTGTCTGCATGCTCAGAATCCCTCCAGGATGAAGAAATAGAGAAGGGATAGAGACCACAGTCCATTAGGGAGCGCTTTTTCCCACTCTCTGTCTCTCCAAGCGCACAGGCCCTCCGGCAATGAAAAATAATAATAATTTTTTTATTGTAAATTAAGTGGAAAAGAATCATCCCCTCTTTCTTCGTTGGGCTGGGAAGATCTTTAGGGGCATGCTTTAGCTTGAGA